ACAATGGTGTCGACAAACCCTTTAACCAGGAAAACATCTGCTCTGCAATTTCGCTGTTTACACCACGAAACATTGTACCGTGACTTTCATGTTCAGCGCGCATGATAGTATTACAAATGTGCCGAGTGTGGTTAACTTGATGAAATCGATCAATTACCATATGTAGTTGACTGATATGGTCAGAAAAAATTGATTTTTTGAAGTGATCATCTTGATCAAAATGTTTGTCGATGAATATTTTCAAACTACACGCGTTATCATACATCATGCCCATCGGCAATTTGACTAAATATAATGTCTCCAATAAAAATAATAAGCATCTTCGTACCGATTCACTTCGGTACAACTCGGTGAAAGAACCAATAATTCCACATGGAAAAAACAATACTAGCACTCCGCAACTCGTCAATCGTTTACCATTTGTTTCTGGTTCGATACGTGACACGTTACAATCAGAAACAGGATTATCCAGGCAATCATTATCTGCCTCTAAAATCATTCCATCTGCTTCGGTACTTGTACCACCAATATACGAATGAGTATCGCAGAAATGAGATTCTAAACCCAAAGGATGTTGGAGATTAAATCAATTCAAGATAAAGAAACAAGCAAGATGCCTACCTGCTATAGGTGTTTCACCACAACCCACAAACACGTCACCTAATTCATAATTTTCTTTAACAACATTTTTGAATCGACAAATGGGTCGGTCAATTTTTTGCTGTCCGTCGACAACAAAGCAAGAAGAACACGTTGACGATCCACATTTTCTTGTTTCTTTGTGGTTACCCCACATAATGACAAACAGTTTCCACATTTCGTTCTTGATGCCTTCACACCATCGTTTCAACACCACTTTATCTAACGAAAATGGAATTTCAATCGTATAGGAATTGTTCATGAAAAACTTAAACTGACAAGCACCAAAAACTAAAAACGCCGATTGAAAATTTTTACGATCTAAAAACGCCTGTTGAAAAGTTTGTTGTACTGCCGACGTCCGTTCATCTTGCATCATTGATAAATCATAGATCGTAGCGTTATATGTGCTTGTGTAACCGCGAAACGTCGCCCGACAAATAATCAGTTGATGAGTGAAATGTATAAATAAAGCCACATCATACACGTTTTTACCACCAACAGAAAAGTATCGCGTCTGTTTAAATGCATCGCAGGTAACGATATGTTGTCGTTTTATTGTTGAATATGAATTAGGATAATGAGAGTATCCGCATTTTTTACAATATCCGAAGTATAAAACACCTAAACAGTACTCCGATTTTATTATAACGCATTATCACGGTACCACTTACCTTTTACAACCATATCCAGTTTAAATACATTAACNAACACCACCACATCCAACACACACTGATGTAAATGGCAATATTTCAATAGTAGTTACAAATGAATTAACACATGACAATTGATACTTTCGAAGCATACTTTTAATACCAATATTAAAAAACCAACCTAATGATTGTCTACTTGATACGACATCAAACATTGATCGAACATCAATTCCAGAATAAAATGTTCCAAATTCTTTATTTATTATTCCAGCAATGTGCAACGCTCTGTCCGGCAAATATTCACATAAACGATTGTGCAACATCACAGCATACACAATATGTTGTAACCTCATGTCACGATTCAGCATAATCATGCATTTTTCATCAGCATTTAGTTTCGTTTCCATTTTCAAAAAATCTATAATCAGCTGTACCACTTTACTAATTATTCAGTCATTCGCCTATATCTGCTCACAAAACAAGTCAAACGAACGAAACCGCGTCATTCCAGTTCATCATGTATTTAATTAAAACTGAGGAAAAAACGTACAACATAAAACAAAAAAGGTCTTCTGTTTTAAAATAGTGAAGCAATATGTGTTTTTAATTTATTTCATGTTTTCTTAAGAACGACCTCATTGTTCAGTTTCTGAACAAAACACTGAGGATAAAGCACACTCACACATAAGGCATTTTCAGCATTAAATACAGCATATTTCCTTTCGATAATTCGATAAAACAAATTCGATAAAACAAATATAAAACAAATTCGATAAAACAAATATAAAACAAATTCGATAAAACAAATATACACAACAATATGAAAATAAAACGATTAATCACAAATTCACGTATTCGCAGTAATTCACATATTTATGATTTTTTTGAAGAACGAGTAACACGATCACCAGCAATCATATCATTTTTATGTATTGAATGCGGCCGTCGGTCTCCTTCTATTACGAAAAGTAAATAAACAAGAATTTTCAACTCTTGTACGTTTCGTCACAGCGCTAAGAATTCCTTTCCATAACATAGCAATAAGTATTTCTTGATGAATTTCATTCGATTCTCCACTTAAAACTATCATGTACTTCAAATTATAAGGCAGGTGTCTGTTTTTGAATAAATCGAGAACAGAAAGCGGTAGAGACCTGCGCTTTTCTTCATCCAATAGGCAAAATCTTAAAACCTCTGCATAAGCAGAAAGCTTTTGAAATCATTTTCCAAAAATCGGGTTTCTAAAGGATCTCTGCAAAATCATTTCATAGCCCCAAATTTTAATATACTAGTATACGAGTTTGTTCAAAGATAGATAGCCGAAAGTGTCTTTTTCAAAATGGGAACTAAACAACCACTTCATTTTTCGCGGTTTAGATGTGACATCGAGTTCCCTGGAGCCCAGTACGGATATTTCTTTATATCTACCAATCTCGAATATGCATAAATACATAGGCTATCGACCACGTTCAATCTGGTGGCAACGATTGCTTGAAATGCCCTATTTTTGCGCAAAATTACCAGACTTATAATGGAGTCAAAATTGACTCACGCCGAAAACATTTTCTAGAAATGTTCCGAAGTAAACGAATATATTTACTGATCTTAAGTATAAAATCATATTGAGCAAATAAAATACGGTACATTCTGATATTCTTGACACGGCGTGAGTAGGAAGGAAACTCGATGTCACATCTAAACCGCGAAAAATTAAGAGGTTGTTTAGTTCCCATTTTGAAAAAGACACTTTCGGCTATCTATCTTTGAACAAACTCGTACCCTGGTGTATTGAAATTTGGCGTTATGAAATGATTTTGCAGAGATTCTTTAGAAACCCGGTTTTGGGAAAATGTCTAAAGATGTCTATTTTTTGTCTAAGATTTTGTCTATCGACTGAAGAAAACCGAAGGCCTCCGCTCTCTATTTTCGAGCATTCTTTCATTGTCGAGAAATCGATTTTTCCCAAGACGCCAAAATATTTCAGAAAAGCGACATCCTTTCGTACTTTGGCCATACCTTTGAGACCTTTTCCTCGACAGTGAAAAATTGCACAGACTACTATTTTTTCACATTCAACACAGGAACATGTTGTAGCAAAAAAGCACACAACAATCGAATAATAAGTCAAATTTTTGTACCTAACCAAACTTTAATGAAAATTAAACGAAATGGATTTTCTAGCCCTGGGAATTCCGTCTTTGATGAGTACAAACGTAATTCGCACAGATCATCTCAAAAAGGAAGTTTTTAAGCAGAGAACGTGAATGAAATCTTTGCTGCGGCGAGACCTCTTTTAATCTACCGTTGTACGTCAGAACCTATAATAGAGACATACTTACGAATATTGACTATATCTTTCAACTTCGATTCTTCGACAGCATTAGACTTCTTCTCAAATAAAAACGATTGATCCACATCCACTACAGCACTATACGGTTCTTCACCTAGAAGGTTCCGAAAAAGAATGAATGAATTATCACACAAAAACTGCATTTTACTTCCACCGAACTTGTTTACCTAGAATCTCCATTGCACTTAGATTCAATAACATTGAATGAGATTGAGATTTTTTAATGCTGCCAAAAAACGTTTTTTTGTATTCTGATGCAACAATATTATAAGCTTTCAATTTCTTTCGGATTTCGTCGTCTTCACTATCATCTTTCGGATAACGTTTGATATATCCCAGTTTTGATGGCGGCGATTTGTCATTCGAATAGTATGAAAAAAATAATCCAGAGATCAATAAACCATCTTCTACCAACCATCGTATAGCACGTTCTTTGAGAGATTTTAAAACATGTGGATCAACTTTGCTGATATCCGTTGTTGACATAACAACCTTTCGTGACATCAAGATCTTGGTCGCCAATTGACAAACATCGGCAGATAAAGAGTATTGTGACGATGTTGCAACATCATTTGATTTATTTCTCATGCCCTCAAATTCCATTGACGTTTCTAACAACTCTTTTTCTTGGGCAACATCTGATAATAATGGTTCATCGTCAACAAACATAATACAATTTCCACTAACTCTCTCACCAACTAAAACAGGCAAAATACATACAATAATGTGATAATTCCAGCGTAAATCACACGTCCAGCATACCCAAATTTTCCTCCATTTCTGATTGATTCTTTTCACCGTAACCGCTTTCATCATTATTCTCATTACTGCTATGGCTTAACGGCAAATAGGATAATCCTTTTTCACTGACATTTCTTCTTGCATTTAAACCTTCGTTTTCATTTTCTTTGTTTAACAACCCTGATTCTTCTAAACCAACAATCATTTGACCATTTGCTTCATCGCCTAAAACAAACAAAATACACACAGCTGCTGCGAACATTCGAGCATAGCCTACATGCTTCACGTACCCGATATCTCCTCAAGTTGTGGCTGGTTTTCTCCATCACGATTATCTCCTTCACTAACTGCAGCTTTGAGCCACTTTTTGCCATCGTCAGTGTATTTGAAACCATCCGGCAATGCAGCTTTTGCATACGCATCAAGATATTCAACTAGGCTCACACCATGAGCACAAAGCTTTTGCTCAAACATTTCTTTTTCATCACCATTGTTCACATCCGGTAATATTTTCATCCATGATTCTCGTTGTCGATCTTTCACAATAAATGGACCTCTTCTCAGCAAGCCATCATCACATAACTGAGCCAAACATTCTTGAATTTCGACCGATGTGAACCCTTTACAAATTGCAATCTTATTATTCGCCGGCAATGACAATGATACACGAATAAATGCATGGAACCGGCAAAGAAGAATTTTCTGATGCAAAGTTATTGCTTGCTTCCACGAATAAATTTCACCACCTTTCGACGATTTGATGAGATCATTGGTCTTTGTGATTCTGGAACATTCCAAAATATTGATATCAACATTCAACATTTGCATCGATAATGGTAAGAGATTTTTTTGTACTAATATCTGAACAAGTTCACATACGAACAATTCAACTGGCAAACAATTTCTGTTTGACGATGCACATTTTGCCATTAAGGGTCGAATGATCCGATCAAATGCCGAACTTAAATGGCGTCGAAATGTATCATCGATAACATTACATTCAAATTGTAAGCCATTGAATAAACGAACAGCATATTCTATTTGTTGCATAATCACACAGTCTTTCGTAAATTTCTGGCATACGTGCAAAAATCGCACGAATATGATGAGGATGTGAACCATCATGCGCTATAGAAAGAAAAAAACAATTCTGATCTTCTACTTTCAAAAAAGCATCAGCATACATTCGACTTTCCAGTGTTCAGTTACAGCATCCACAAAATCTTCAGCTTCACATTCACTATTGTTTGTAAACAAAAATGTTATCTCATCAAATAATGTCAATGCAAATAACAGTTGACGATAGGATGGTAAACGATGGTTGTAAGCCAGTTCCGAATCCGTAGTATTCAACATTGAGATACGTTTCGAAGTTATCCGGTTCGGCATACAATAAAACAAGAATCGTTGTATCAAGCCATCGGATCTTCTTTCAAAACAATCTGTCAACACTTTTTCAAAATGCGCTCCTGTTGTACATCCAACGATTGACAAATACCCGTTTTCGATATTTCTTTGATTCGCCCTCAAAATTGAAGTGGAGAATATCAATCGATCATTTGTACAGATATAAATTTTGCACAACTCACGTGGTTTCACGAGCGACGTTCGTAAAACAATCAAAGCCGTGCATTAGCGCGGTTCGTCCTTCTGATTTACTCATGTTATTTGGTTCATACAAACCAAATTTCAAAAGAATTGCATCAATTTCTGATGATAATGCTAGAACGTGTTGTTCTTCCAGTTTTTTTAATAACTGACACGGTGATAAAGAATCAATGACATTTTTATCATCAACTTTCGTTTTTTCTTTACTAATAACCAATGATTTAACGCTAGTCAATTGCTGCTCCACAAAACGCAAAGAAACGCTTTTTCCAGATCCTAAAATGGGACAGTTTCTTACATATAGCTCTGCTCAAAAGCTTAACGACTCACCCGAATCCCCAATGAACAAAATATAAATATTAGTGTTCTTTTTTGCTTTTGTATACGTAAGATAATTGACATTTGCTAAATGGGGGCTTACACCCATCAATGATAACAAAAGCACCCCAGCATCACACGAATAAACTCGCTGCGACTCTCTCAAGACACTTAGCAGCAGTCCATGGCAAAATTCGCTCAAATTGAACGGATGCTGTTGCATTCGTTCAATATTGTAATCAACCAACCCTCCCCAATTTAACATTTTATTTTTAGCAGGCATCTGCAAGAATACCAAAGAAAAGTACAGCAAACATCTACCTCTTGCAATATTTGATAGGTAGAATGTCAGCTATCAATGATCCTGACTAGGGAACTTATATTAAGACTCTTAAATATGACTATTCATATCTATATATACGTAGAATAAAACTGGACAAAGACAAATAGAGAAGCGAGGAAATAGTATTTGCATAGAAACACCTGGACGTTTTGCTAGAGATATAATAATGAAAAAGACGAAAAATACATATAGTAGAACAATCACGTATCGTTCGATAACACAAATAATTTCACACTTACAAAATTAATCTCGCTTTTCCTACTGGCACATTCGATTTCTCACACAAGGCAAATGAAGTTTCCCAACTTTTCAAGTTTTGGAACTTTTTTTCAAAACTACTAAAGAATCTTCTGAAATAAAATAAAGAATCTTGGAAAACAGCTGCGCATTAAAAATGTCACTAATATACACCTAGTTTTTGCGTTCGAGTTTAGCTATGTAGAAATTAAGAGCAAAAAACATGATATTTTATGTTTTAACCTACTTAACTTTCTCTCCGGATGTCAACAAGCGTGAACATCGATAAAATCGATATAGAGAAATAACGAAGCTGGTTGATTACTATTGCTATATGGATGCTTTCTACAATCATACAGGAAAGGTAATTTTCTGTCAAGTTGCTTTGAAGCACCGTGCGCAGTAATGATGCTGTGTACTTTAGGGGGAGTGATATAGAAACTACTAATTTTTAAACATTTTTACATTCCCCCTCCCGCTTCTTTTCTTGTAAGGTACAGAATTTTATTTTTCGTTTTTTTGCCATGGTAGGACAGCAAATCGGGTTGCAAAAAAAACTTAAAAAAATCCCACAATTTTGAAACACATTTTTCAGTTAAAAAATTTTAAATGTCGATTTTCTCAAAACTAGAAAATAGACTAAAACTCTGACTAAAGCTGTTAATCTTTTAGTTTTAATATTCGTCTGTCTCGAGAAATATGTGATTAACATGAAATATGTTTGCAAAATACCTAACAGAAAACGGGTGAGAGAAGAGACCTAAAAGAAACTCTAATCAAACCTGTTGAATAACCTGTGTATAATAATGTATTGGAATAAATAAAAAAAGAATAGGTACAACAATACAGAAACACACACGATAATGAACGATGCTCTCACACAACGTATAAAAACACGCATGTATAATAATAATATACTCAAGAATGAAAGTGACTGATCTGATTGACAAATACACAGATTTATATAGGGTAAGAGAGACTATAGAAAAGAATAGAATTCTGTAAAAAAAGAGAGAAAAAGCGCTGTATAGAAGAACCTGGAGAAGAGAGAGATAAATAGTCTAAAATCTACAATGATTATTCTACATAAAATGAGGAGAACACTGTAAGAGAAAGAAAATGATGTAATAATAGTCTACTGTCTAAAATAGTCACTGGACAGAAAAATAGAACGACGAAATAACAATGTATCGCCTGGACAGGAAGAGATGTGACTGAACAAACATACATAGAATGAATAAGACATTAGAAAAGAGCCAAGAATAGATATGACCGAAAAATGTAATTGTGAAGGTGACTGAGGTCATAACAAAATATAATATATATATAACACAAAATATAACTTCGTTGTCGAAAACTTCACTTTTTATGAATTCAGTGAAAAACTTTGGACACTAAGAAGGCTCAGGGTTTAGAGGCTTCGAACCATGCTCTATCTTTTGGTTCACTTAGTTTCTTTTAAAAGGCTTCGAAGCAGGGTTTCAAGAAAACCGTGGTTTTTGGCATACCTGATCTAAAAAAAATTGATTTCTACAAAAAATGGCTGAAGATGGAACAATTTTGAGGTTATGAGCGTATTCAGGACAGAATAAGCTTCATCTAACAAAAAAATCGAATCTCAAGCAAAAGGTTGAAAATTTAAATCAAAGTTTTAATTTTTGAAAATTTAACTTTTTTTAAATTTGAAATAACTGGCTCATGTAAGTGCTGGAACTTCACAAATACATCATTCAATAGAGAATGGAAAACTAAACAAACGTAGGGAGTGGACAACGTTTCTGTATCACGTGATGCTGGTTTCCTACAGATTTCACAGAAAACATTCTGGTAATTTTACTTTAATTTAACTTCTTTTCTAATTTAAACCTTCACACAAAGCTTATTAATTTTTTTGGTATAATGGAGCTCATAAAACTACATCTTGTAGACTGCTTCTTGACCGTTCAAAAAGTTTTGGTCGTTATATGAGCAGTATTCAACATCATGTACTCCTCTGCTATAACATCACGATAATTTTCACATACATAAGTGATGTCTACTCACATGTGTATCATAGATCCGAGAGAGAGAGTCATAGACACAAATTGCCATGAATCCTATCTTTACTCTGCGTGTCTGTGTCTCTCTCCCGGGTTCTCTCCATCAGCACTCAGCTTTTACGCAATGAAAATATCATATTCATATTCAAAATTGGCGTCGAAAGCGAAGAAAATACTCTTTTTCTGAGAAGTACGAAAAAAGCCACTTTAACTCGGACTGACGGCATAAATGTTATGGTTGAGTAAGGTAAACTAGAATACGATAACGCAAGGAAAAGTAACATAAGATAACCTACGGTAATATAAGGTAGGATAGAGAAGTCAACATAAGTTCAAGTAAAGTAAGGTAATGTAACGTAAACTAGCGT